CAGGAATGGGAATGTGCTGCTGAACACCCCAAACCCGAGGCAGGAATGGGAATGTGCTGCTGAACACCCCAAACCCCCGGGAGGGGAGGGGAGGGCTGGAGCCTCGGCCCCGGGGGCACACGGAGCTCCCGGGAATGCCACAAAGTGCCAGTGCTTGTCTGCACCCCCGGGCTGTCCCCACCCGAGGGATGCTGCTGGCTGGACACCTCCGGGATGCCAGGGAAGGGTTGGGAATGCTGCATGGACCTGGCTGGCTTCCCCAAATCCTCCCTCCAGCCAGCTCCACCTCGAGCTGGAGCTCTGCTCCCTGCTGGGAAGACGGGAGGAGGAAGAGGAGGATGCCCAAGCCAGGCTGGCACCAGGGGCCCGTGCAGAGGTGGCACTGGCTGGCAGAAGGACCCTGAGAATTTCCAGGCTAACACGGTCTGCAGGAGCATCACAGTGACGGTGGCTGCACAGGCTGGACAGTGAAATGAGGAGGCTGAGGAGCAGTATCCCCTCACCTGCCTTCCCTACCCCTTCCCAAAGATGCTGCAGGCCACAAAACCCCCCCTCACTCGGGACAGCCCGAGGGATGGTTCCTAATGGCCAAAGGGAACATGTTCCAGTTTCTAAAATCCAACAGGAAAGCAAGTGCAGGGTTACTGCAAGGTGCATTGGCAGAGGTACCAGGTCATGCAAGCAGCCCCCCCTCCCTCCCTCCCTCCCTCCCCACAAAAGCCCAGGCACCCCCATCCCCAGCACCAAAGCAGCTTCAAGCATGTCCAGAGATCACATCACCATGATTTCAGATCTGAGACACCCTCGGGGATGGCTGCGAGTCCACGGAGAGGAACCAGATTTTGCACCCGAGGTGGCTCCAAAAGCGTCTTCAGAGCCCAGGGCTGAGGGCACGAGGGTGGCAAAGGCCTTCTGTGCTGGCAGGGTGACAGCTGGAGCTCTGGGTCCAGTGTGGCACAGCTGATTTCGGACACACAGATACCCTATGGAGGAGATTTTTTTTTTTCTCTTTTTTTTTGATTTTTTTGGGCGCTTTTTTTTGCCTTTTGGTTTTTTGTTTGTTTTTTTTTTTAAGCTGCTGCACAAACCACCGAACGGAGAAAAGCCTTTGGTCATGAGATATTTGTGAGAAAAAAATGGAGCCTTGTATGGAAGATTCCCCTGAATGCCTACAGTATTCTAAATCTTAAAAAAATATATTGTAGATGCTGCAGCCATACAAAGGGGGAGGAGGAGGAGTGGGAGACAGGGATTTACAGTCTCACACAGACACGACAGGGAGGTTAAGACAAGCACAGTCAGAGTCTGTAAAACTGATTGGCTCGCTGGGATCAGTCATCCTCATCATCCTCTTCATCCTCTGCATCTTCCTCTCCTTCATCCTCTAGACTTCGTTTTCTCTTCACCCCGCACGGATGCTCTGCAAAGAGAAGGGGGTTCACTCTCCCAGCCCAGAGCAGCAGCTGAGCTCTGCAGCTGGGAGCAGGCACGGGACAGGCTGGCACCATTTGGGAGCAGATCCACCCTGCCCTGCTCCTCCTGGAAAAGCTGGCACGAGACGCCAACAACCTTCTCTGCCCTCCAAGCATCCTGTAGAACAGCTCAAAAGGGGATTCTTTTTGTTGTTGTTGTTGAGCACCCTCAAAAACACAGCATGTGCAGAAATCAGGCACTCCTGACCAAGCTCACGGGCCCCTGTGCTGGCTCTGCTGCAGCCTCAAATCCTGGGGCAGTTCTGGGGCCCTCAGGACAAGGACATTGAGGGGCTGGAATGTCCAGGGAAGGGAATGGAGCTGGGGAGGGGTCTGGAGCACCAGGAGCAGCTGAGGGAGCTGGGAAAGGGGCTCAGCCTGGAAAAAAGGAGGCTCAGGGGGGACCTTGTGGCTCTGCACAGCTCCTGACAGAAGGGGACAGCTGGGGGGGTCAGTCTTGTCCCAGCTAACAAGTCACAGGGTAAGAGGAAATGGCCTCAAGTTGCACCAGGTGAAGTTTAAGTGGGATATTGGGAAAAATTCCTTCAAGGAGAAGGTGATTAGGCATTGGCACAGCTGCCCAGGGCAGTGGGGAATCACCATCCCTGGAACTGCTCAAAAAAATGTGGATGTGGCCCTTGGGGACAGGGGTCGGAGCTGAAGATGGTGGTGTTGGACTCGGTATTAGAGGGATTTCCCAACCTTAACAATTCCATGATTCATCCAAAATCACTTGAATTCACACCAGCCACAATATTCTGTCAGCTTCCATCCGGGTGTTTGTTTGTTACAGCCAGAGGAGTCTGGCCCCAAGCTCAGGTCCAAGCTGATGAGAGGGGAACGTGCCCCCAGGAGATCCCCTCACACCTCCTGGGACAGCAGCCCTGCTCCTGTATGGCCCATCAGGTCCCAGAACTGCTTTTCTAAGCAACTGACCTCTCACATTTCCCAGAACAGCTGGAATTTGGAGGTCCTGAATCCCCTTTCCCCCGCTGTGTGACCTTTGATGATGACACTGCTCAGAACCAGCTTGGGCAGAAAAGCTCCAGCAACAACAGCCCTGCACTGAGGCTGAGGAAGCTCCAAAACCACCAAATATTTCCCTGCTGAGGGGGCTCTGCAAGAAATTGGATTGTCAGGACTCAACTCACCCTCCTCAGCTTCATCTTCTTCATCCTCCTCACCATCCTCCTCCTCATCTTCCTCCTGGAGTGAAAACAAGAGGCTTTGTTGCAAGAGCAAGCAGAATTCCATGAGCAGTAATCCCAGTCCTCCTTCCCCTCTGCCACCCCACTGAAGCCTCAGGATGGCAGGAGAAGCTGCTGGATCCCAGGAGCTCCTCACATCCCACGCAGGGGCTGCATGGATCCATCACTCAGAGCCATGGCAGGGCCAGGCCAGGGCTGAACTGGAAAACTCTCTGGAGTTTGTGACTCTCAGCAGTCCAGAGTGCAGGAAAAGAGAGAAACGCCTCAGATCTGCCCCCAGAGAGGCTCCTGTGACCTGGGCCACCAGACAAGGGACAAACGTGTGACCTGGTGACAGCCTCACCTCGTCATCTACTCCATCCTCCTCCTCTTCACCTTCCAGATCGTCGTCTTCATCTTCCTCGTCATCAATGACTTCTTCATCCAAATCATCTTCCTCCTCATCATCCTCCTCTTCCTCACCTTCTACCAAAAGGGGGAGGGAGGGAAGTGCCCCATTTCCCACACCCAGGCAGCCCTCACCCCTCAGTGCCGTGTGAGCAGCAGGCAGGGAGGGGTCCCAGAGGATGAGGAGGGACAGCACCAAGCCCCGTCACCTCCCAGCCCCACAGCCAAGGGGTGAGGGACCCACACAGCCCCTCCTCCTCCAGTGCCAACCCCACTGCTGCAACCCACCCTGAAGTGAAAAAGGGGTCGTTGCCAAGCAGGAGAAGCAGGAGGAGAAAAAAATCCTCACCTTCCCCATTCTCATACTCATCTTCCAGTGCATCCCCATCTGCTTCAGGGTCTGAGTCTGGGGCTTCCTGCTCGTCAGCATCGAAGCCATCCAGGTAGGTGAGCTGGGGCAGGAGGGCGAACACGCTCTCCCGGTAGTTGATGAGCATCGTCACCTCGCAGTTGAACAGGTCCAGACTGCGGAGGTTTGGCAACTTTTTCTGCAAAAAGCAATTTGGTAAGGTTATTTCCAGCGCTGTCTGAAGATCAGGAAGCCAAGGGAGGGTGGATGGGGTAGTGCACAGCTCCAGCACAGAGTGGTTTTGCCCCACATGCTGCTCAGATGGAGAGGAGTCACTGCTCCTCTCATTGTGGGCAAAAGGAATTTCTGTCCAGCTCCTCTGTCCTGGCTTCCCTTTTTGGAACCAACTCTGTATTTGCAAATCTTTCTTTCTTCTGAGCAGGCCCAGCAAGCTCAGGAGCAGCTGAGCTGGACTCATCCTGCTCAAAAGATCAGGCAGAGCTCAGGGAGAGCTGCAGCCTGGCTGCCCTTGGCACAGCCCAGCTCAGGCCATTACACCGGGCACCACACCAAGGAAAGGAGGAGCAAACCAATCCCAAATTCCTTCTGGAGGGAATGGATGGACAAAACAGCCAGTGAGACAAATGCCCTGCGTCAGACCTGCCGGGTGTCCCTCACAGCATTCCTGGGGCAGCTCAGATGGAGCCTCAGAGGCCTTTTCCAGCCTCACTGTGGGAATGGGAATGGAGCCCTGCGGTGCTGGGACAGCAGAACCTTCAGGCTGATGGGACAGATGCCCTCAGTGCTGTCCAGTTCCCTCATTCCATGACACCCCAGGTGCCACCTACCTCCAACTGCCTCCGACCCTTTCCCGGTCCCTTCTCAGCTGGGCACTGAGCATCCACAGTTTTACTCATCCAGCCCCATTTCAGGCTTCTTTTAGCAACTGGCTGCTGCTTTTCCAGACTGAGGAGCCATTAACTACTGGCCCAGCCTCAAACTGGGATCAAATCTGTTCCCATCAGAACCACGAAGTGCTGTTGGAACAGTTACCAAGACGTTGGACTCCTGCTGCACAGACCCAATCCCCAAAGCAAAAGTCATCCCTGGGATTCCAGCACAGCCTCCACTCACCAAGGGCTCCAGGGTATTGATGTCTTTGATCTTGTTGCCACTTAGGTTCAAGTGTGTCAGGTTGGGAGTTTTCTCTGCTAGAACTTCAAGGCCACCAGAAATCCTATTATCACTCAGCTCCAGCTGAAGGGAGGGAATATCACATTGTCACCAAATGTTTCAGCTCGTGATACAGGGAAGGAAACTGCACCAAGAACTGCGCTACAATGAGCACACAAATTTCCGCTCACAGAGCTTAAAACCCCCTCCCTGCAGGGACACAGCACTGCCAGCCACCCCCATGCTGGTAAGTGCTCTAAAATCCAAAATATTTAAGGTGTCATGAAGCTTCTGACAGCAGCACGAGAGCAGAAAAGCAAGACAGGAAGGGCTTTAAGCACCTGAAGAGCTCAGAAGGTTTCTGTTGCACATTTAAACCAACCCCTCTCTTGCTCAGATAGCGAGCAAAGAGCAAAATTCAATGTATTTTCTGGCAAATACAGGAAAACCAACTGCCACCAGGGGCAGCACAAGGCCAAGGGCTGCTGGAGATGGGAGCAGAGTCCTGACTCACCTTCCGGAGCTTGTTGAGTTTGGGGAGGTTGGACACGGACAGCAGGTTGATGTTGATCATGCTGAGGAACTCCAGGTTCTCAAAGTCTGAGGAGAGGCCGACCACCTTGCCATCCTCTGAGCGGCAGTTGTCCAGCACCAGCTCCTTCACCTGCACAGGGACACCCACAGCTGTCACCACAGCTGCCACCGTCCCCCTGGACCTCGAGGTGACACCACCGACACATCCAGAGCACGGCTGAGCCTCCAGCTCCTCCTCAAATTTAAGACCTTAAAGCCAACTAACTTTTGGTGACAGTCCCTCACCGTGGTTGGGGTTTCACCCTCTAAGCACAAGCCACCAACGCGCTCCTGCTGTCCCCACCAAGGTCCCCATCCTCCAGGGGTTTGGAGCCACGAGGTCACATCCCAAAGCTCCCTGCACATCAATAAAGCTTTCAGAGTCAGCTTCAGGCTCTGCTAAAGAGCGGCCAAGCGAGGTCAGCTGGGTTTGTCCCCTCCCACTTTGTCCCCCACTGGGGTGACAAAACCTGTCCCCAGAGGACTGACTTCCCTGTGACAGCGTCCAGTGAGGTGACACAGGGGCCTGGGCAGGGCTCAGCACATAAGCTCAACCTCAGGCTGGTGACACAAGAGCACTGACGGCACCAAACATTGTGCCCAGCATGGATTCCACATCCAGGAACCTCCAGGAATTCAGCACATGAAGGAACCAACCCCTCAGTGCCACCAGGACCACCAAACACCAGCACAGAACTGCTGTCCCCAAACACCTGGAGGGAAACAGCCCCAGTTCTCACACACCACTCCCAAAACCTGCTTTTACCCCACACATTCTTGACAGCAAGATGCAAAAATGAGCCTTGGCCAGAAGGCTCGTGGCGCTCTCCAAATTCCTCCTTCGCAGCGCTCCCATTTTACCTCTCCTGTCACATCAGCCAGCTCTCAGGGAGTCATTTTAAAACCTCTCTGCCTTCCCAGAGGGAGAGGCTGGGGGCTGCTGGGCCATCTTTGCCACCTTCACAGCACAAGCTCAGAATGAATTATGGCTTCAAACTCCTCAAGTGCCATCGGTGCTTGGGGGTGTGAGTGGAGGCTCTCAGAAGTTTTGGAGCAGAGTTTGTTTTGCCCTCAACATGACAGAAAACTGACGTGCTCCAACCAAACTGGGACTGTCACCGTGGTGGATGTAAAGGTGGCAAAGGGCAGAACTGAGTGGCTGCTGCTGCGAGGTGCAGGCACAGAGGTGAGCCCGAACTCCACCACCATGGAATCCTGGAATGGTTTGGGTTGGAAGGGACCTCAAAGCCCACCCAGTGCCACCCCTGCCATGGCAGGGACACCTTCCACTGTCCCAGGCTGCTCCCAGCCCTGTCCAGCCTGGCCTTGGGCACTGCCAGGGATCCAGGGGCAGCCACAGCTGCTCTGGGTGAGCCGTGCCCAACCCAGCCAAGCCCTTTCTGATGGCCCAGGACACACAGCAGGGACACCCAGCCCTGACCCCGCTGCTCTGCAGCTCCTGGCGTCACTCCACGGGCACCAGGCGCTCGCAGCTCCTCCTGCCCAGCAGCTCCGCTCCTGCAAATCCCCTGGCCGCGCACGAAGCCGCTTTAATCTCCACCCAAAGCCCCGCTCACCGCCCGTTCCCCCGGGCTCGGGTGCCGCGGCCGCAGCTGCCACGACACCGAGAGTCCCCGGGCCAGGGAGGGACCGGCCACGGCCCGGCCCCGGGATGGGGAGCGCCGGGAAAAGGGAGATCCAGAGAAAAGGGAGACCCAGGAAAGCGAGCGGGGAGAGCCAGGGAAAGGGAGAGCCAGGGAAAGGGAGCGGGGAGAGCCGGGAACGGGAGATCCAGGAAGGGGCGGCCGGAGCAGAGCCGGGGACGAGGCGGCCCCGGAGCGGGCGAGGAGCGCTGGGCCGGCCCCGCGGCCGCCAGCGGAGGGGACCGGGCGGCCCCGGCGGCACCTCAAGGCTGATCCCCGCAGCCCCGGAGCCCTTCCCCGGGCGGAGGAGCCCGCGGGAGCCGCTCCGGGCCCGGCCGGGCCCCGCTAACATGGCCGGGCCGCCATGGCCGCGCGGGGCCGCCCCGCACCGGGCCCGCTGCCCCCGGCCCGGCCCGGCCCGGCCGTGCCCCGCCCGCCCCGCTGCCCCCGCGCCCCTCCGGGCCGGGCCGGGCCCCGCCGCCCCCGGCGCGGCCCCGGCGCGGGCGGGCCCCGCCGCGCACGTGCGCGCCGCCATGCCGGGGCCGCGGGCCGGGCGGGAGCGCTCCCGCCGCCGCGCCCGCCGCAACCGCCCCATCCCCACCGCGCCAAACCCGCCCGGTCCCCGCCGTGCCGGACCCCCGCGGGCCGCTCTCCCTCCTCCTCCTCCTCCTCCTCCTCCTCCCCGCCCGCAGCACGTGCCGCCCCGCTCCCCGCCGCACCTCGCTCGGCTTCTTGTTGCGCAGCTCCAGCGTCAAGCGCTTCTCCATCTCCATGCTCCCCGCCGCTCCGCCCCGCCGAGCCCGAGCCGCGCTGCGCTCCCGGTGCCGCTCCCGGTGCCGCTCCCGCCCCCGCCCGCGCGCGCCGCCGCCGCCGCCCGGCGCAGGAAGAGGCGCCAACGGCAACAAAGGCGCGCGCGGCGGCGCCCCCTGCCGGCAGCGCCCCCTGCACGCCGCCCGCGAGACCCGGGTTCGAGTCCCGCCGGGACCGGATTCGAGTTCCATGGGACCGGGTTCGAGTCCCGCCGGGACCCGGTTCGAGTCCCTCTGGGAGCCGGTTCGAGTCCCGCCGCGACCCGGTTCGAGTCCCGCCGGGACCGGGTTCGAGTCCCGCCGCGACCCGGTTCGAGTCCCGCCGCGACCCGGTTCGAGTCCCGGCGGGACCGGGTTCGAGTCCCGCCGAGACCAGGGTTCGAGTCCCGCCGGGACCCGGTTCGAGTCCCTCTGGGAGCCGGTTCGAGTCCCGCCGGGACCGGGTTCGAGTCCCGCCGCGACCCGGTTCGAGTCCCGCCGGGACCAGGGTTCGAGTCCCGCCGCGACCCGGTTCGAAGCCCGCCGGACCCGGTTCGAATCCCGCCGCGACCCGGTTCGAGTCCCGCCGGGACCCGGTTCGAGTCCCGCCGCGACCCGGTTCGAGTCCCGCCGGGACCAGGGTTCGAGTCCCGCCGGGACCAGGATTCGAGTCCCGCTGGGACCAGGGTTCGAGTCCCGCCGGACCCGGTTCGGTCGCGCGGCCGCGGTCCCCGGGGCTCCGTGTGCCGGCCCGCCCGCGGCACCGCGCTCCGCCCGCACGGCTCTGCCCCGGCACCGAGCTGCCATCTGCGCTGCCATCGGATGCTGCGGTTCAGTCTTCAGCAGCGTGTTCCAGTCTGCAGAGTTGCATTCCCATCCCCAGGCAATGTGTACCAGTCTCCAGCACCATGTTCCGTCCTCAGGAACCAGAATTCCTTCTCCAGAGCCACAGTCCCATCTTCAGAGCCACTTTCCCATCCTCAAGCACTGTGTTACCATCGCCAAACATTGTGTTCCAGTCTTCAGCACTGTGTTCCAGTCTCCAGCTCTGTGTTCCAATCTCCAGAGCCACATTCCCATCCCCAGGTACATGGTTCCTTCCCCAGCAGCTTGTTCCCAACTCCAGAGCCATGTTCCCATCCCCAGATCCC